AGATGCATTTGAGATATCAAAAAAGTACTCCAGAGTGTTGTTCAGCATGGGGGTGAGTAGAAAATGAAGGCTAATCATGTTTTGGGTGTATTATTCCTTTAAGCTCAGATGGGTTTAGGAGCAAATTCAGCCTGAAATTACATATGTGAAGCAAGTACAGCTCCCAAACTATAAATTGGAAATACAATTGTTTGCATTTGTATGACAGAAAAGCATTAAGGAATATTTTTCAGGTGGAACCACTATTCTAAATGTCACAATTTCTGATTTATAGGTGATTAAACAAAAAAAATATAAAAATTATTTAGCTTCACAAACATTTCTTCCAAAATAAACCTTCAGACTTTATAGATCCACATCTTGACTATAACTCAAGCAAGTTTGGACTGAATAAGTAGAAGTATGTTTGTTCCACAAAGGTTTTAGTGGGCAGTGTGCTAGGCAGGAATGTGATTTTGGCACAGTGGTTCATGAAATATATTCTTAAACCAATAATAAAACAATAAATACTTATTAAAATATAGAATTTACAGAACAAACAAAAATAGAAAAAAACATGTATTTTCAAGCAGCAGCAGAAACGGATGCAACCTGGAGGACTCTGCTTTCTTTAACTACTCCACCATGTTAGTTCAGATTTTTGATGAAAGAGAAGACAAAAGGTAAAAAGGCCACCTGAGCTGTGGGATCTTTGAAACAGAACCTTGGCAACAATATTGCACTCAACAGTTTCTTGTGAAAGGCGATTCTGTAACTTACACATTTAAGATTTAAAGACAAAAAATTGCGTATTAGTAATTGATTTATTAACGATTTATTTTGTAGGTAACCATGCTAAAAAAAATACTGCTTGACCATCTAAAGCATTAGCTAAAGCTAAAGCATTAGTTTAAACCATTAGCTACCATCAAATAAAGGTACTCTTCACTGTGTAAGCTAACAGCTAGTTTTCCAGCATAACAATCGATTCCTGAAGCTAAAACTCAACAGTGCCTCCCAAACATCCATGACACGGATGGAGGATGGGAGCAGGGGTCAGTTACATGAATGAGCTGCTGCCAAGATGGCAGAAACTGCAGTGAATACTGGCTTGTAAACATTAACAACACAAATTTCCTAGC